AATTCTTTACCGAAAATATACTGTATGGCCGGAAATGTTTCTATAACTTTTTAACGATGCCTCGATCAACAAATTAGTATCCTTGATTTTCGTCTTATTTTAGCCTCTAGAATCGCCCATTAAAATTTTTCCCAGGAGTGGTTGAACACCCTGTATATAGAATTATTTGACACGTTCCCCTTGAAGGTGTAGCGGATGTTTAAACAACACGATAAGCGACTGATATAAAAAAATTATCAGAAATTAGCGTTATCTTTGTGAAAATGAATAATTCGAATGCAATACCCTTTTTTTACATATAAAAATTATTTTACCTGCATACATTTTAAACATTGTTATTTTTCTTTGTGCAATGACACACATTACGTGCACACCTACTGAAAGTATAATACCAAGGCGATTCAAAAGTAACCTTGACTGACCAATGACATCTTTATCAAAACAGTTAAACCGTTAATCACACGTCGAACCAGACAACGATTCAGTGGGATCTTCGAACGTTGCCTTAATAAACTCGCTTGACCCTTTTACCGAACTTCCACTCGCACATGGTCAATTATAGTTCGCTGTAAATCGAGTTCTAAATATACATCAATATTTCAACGCTTCGACTTTGAAAACGTTATAGACGTCACAGACTATAATCAATAACAATCTGTAACGAATAACAAATTACATTTCGAAAAATAGATACAAGAATACAGATCGCAAAGCAAATTGCAACGTGCTTGCTTTAAATAGCTGCGTGTAATAAATTGTTGCTTCCGAATGTCAATTTCATTTTACACAACGGAAATTATTTTACGTTGCGAAATTGTTCGAGACTGTCGCGAACACTGACTGGAAAATAAATTGCACGCGAAAACGACCCCGTACAGAGTTGATTTACGAGAAAAAGATGTACTGAGCACGATGTTGCAGACCACCTCGTGGCGCATCTGTGGCAATCCGTGCATCTCCTAATAAAAGTACGAGATGTTTGCAATTTCGTTTCAGTGACTCATGTTCCAGATGTCAATGGCATAAAGCACGGTTCGTGTGACCCTTGCTTTTTCTGTTTATTATAAAAAAAAAACATCTGAGACATTATGTCATACGTATCGATCTTTGTTAACGGTTCGTTGAGAAGAAACCGCATAGAATTTTGTCGCGATCGACCGTTAGAAACTTCTTCACCTGTTCGAAGCCACGTGACGATTCGGACACCTTTCCGATCTAATCGAAAAATAGGGATTGAACTTACTCTGTACTGGATCACCCTTTCCAAAAACGTGACACAGCGTCCACCCACGGAACTTGTCACATCACAGTACTCGATCACAACCGGCTTCTACCGAAACAAAGGCGTGCACTTTGGAAATTTCGTGATCGCGTGGTTCGACTCGTCAAAGAAGATTCCTGGTTACTTTTACTTTTGTTTATGCTGTTCGATCCGAGCCACGAGCATCGAGAATCAACTATCGACGTACGTACACCTGGATGACACCTGGAGAACTCGTTCCGGCGATGTCGAGGCGCCTTTTGTGTTTGCCTCCAGAGCGTAAACTTATATGATCTTGTGTGCACACGCCACGGTGTAACACACGAAACTGCCGGCTTAAAGGAACTCTCTGTGCCGTAGAAAGAAGGTGGTGGAGGAGAAAAGGAACGCGTTCGCAGGCAGAACAGAGAAGGAGAAACGGCCCATTCCCTCCGTGTGACCGCGTATTTGTGTGTGCAACGTGTGTATAAGCGCGTGTACGTGTCGAGTTTCAACGGACAGGCAGCCGTGCACGAGCGCCAGTGCACAAGGGAATGCTTTTTTTCGGGGGAATTTCAAAATCACAAGGAAATCTAGCCACTTTGTTCCCGCGCGCCTCCACCGAAGGCAGATGGTGCTCGCGCAGCCAACGTTCGAAACCACCGTTTCGAAATTGTGGCGAAATCAACAATATTTTGAAACAGATCCGTGGGATTGTACGTTAAGCACATCGAGGCCAAAGACTTTTATAAACTAGCTTTTGCCCGCTGCTTCGCTCGCCTGAGAATATTTTGGGGATATTTTAAAACCTTGGCTACGTCAGAACGATGTCTCTTGATTCATAATAATCCGGAGATGCGTACATGCTGAAATAGTAAAAAAAGTACAACTGTTACATGAATTGTTAAACTGGACGGTTCTGTAATTGGTTTAAATTACCTCGCGCGAGAACTTCGTTTAAATAGCTGATCGATATCTAGTGGCGCGGCAGAGAAAAAAGAAGTAAACGTCATATAGTATACAAAGGAAGCGTTTCACGGGGCAATCTAGATGAATGAAAAGGCGCGCGCGCATTTCCTTTCGTCGAATAAAACGTTTCTCCCTAACGACCTAAGTGCACTTCCTGCATAATTGAGTGCGCTCAACTTCGTTGCGCTTCCGCGAATTCGCTGAACCTTCCAAGAGTTATGGGACGATTCTGCAAAGAAATCGAAACTAATCGATCGCGCGTCGATTAAAGGAATACCGAGAAAAAGATGCTCGAAGTAGCCAATAATACCTTGCAACCAATTGTTGCGTACGACGAACGGGGCTGGAAAAGTGCAAGTCTACGTTAGGAGGCCCAAATGTGCATCGCCCTTACATACAGTAATTTACTTATAACCCATTCTTCCATTCCGGATATATACACCTACGATAATATTTGCATCACCTTACCCTTTCTCAGTTATTAAAATATAGCCCTTAACTAACAAAAATCGTTTCTATTTGCAGGACACTTGGACTTTCATTGAGCAAAGATTGTTCGATGTTACGCCTACGCAGAAGTGGCCAAATCCAAGCCCAATCGTCGTACAGAGCACACTTACTCGGTACACCGTTCGGAGCTAACCATGATTTAAGACCTAACTCATACTAATGGAGAACTAACCCAGATCTAGCCGAAATGAATCTTCATTACGTCACGGTTACCTTCTTCAACAATCATTTATTTATGAAAAGTAACTGACTTGCAACACGATCCCTCGTACTAAACCGGTATTAAGGCTGCATCGTCTGTACTCGGCTTAATGTCAGCCAAGCAAGTTGGCACGAAGTACGATAAATGCCACTTTCGCCCTGGAGTAACCTATAGCTCTCGGGTATCCCCTGGTTTGCAATAATAATTTGCACTGTCGAATCATATTTATTGCAATTTTTTTGCTCTCGGTTATTTCGAACGCTACTGTAACGACTTCCAGCCACGCGAGATCTAGGAATTCGTCGAACCTGAAAATATACATAAACTTTTAATCGCGAATAAAATTAGTATCATATTAACGTTTACCTTGTTTTCTACATCATACACAAATAGCGTAGCTTCATAATCAATATAGTAGACGCGACCTCACAACGACAGTTGACAGTTTTTATTTTAGGAAGATTAGATTGCAGTGACGATCATCAGCTGATATTCATCAATTACAATTTGATCAAGATAGTCCTATCATTTTGATAAATTGTTTTCAACGCTGTATATAAATAATATAATACTATAATCTATAGATAGTTACGAATTAGATACGATGGTTCTCGTCCTACAAGGTATTAACGATACTTAGCCAGAATGCAGAGAGTCGTTTAATTGTTGCCGAGTAATTTAACGATACCTTAAGAGGTCCTCCTAGCAGGACGCTGTCGCTTACTTATATCACGAACTCACGAAACAATTTCCTGCTTTCGTGAAATTACCGGTGACTCGCGATTCCGAAGGTTGCAGTCAGGCAAAAAGTACTTCCGAGGTAATCAGCTTTCCATCATTAATCTCGTGACAACTGCGGCTCCGCAGGAATCCTGTAACGAGACGAAATATCTCAATATCCGCGTTTCCTTTTCCACGACGTTGCTCTTCCTCCGCAATACAATTTCAAATGTCCATTTTACGTTTAGTTTTCGAACGTAAGACTCGCCCGTCCCCGCAGATAATTTCATCGCCCCGGTGGTCCCGTTCTAAAGCGCGCAAAGAGCAGATCGATTATTATTCCACGCGTGTTCTACATAGTACTACGATAAATACCGCTATCGTAGTTTTGTGACCGTTAGTTAGATAACGGTCGAAACGTGACTGCCGATGATCTTGATTTCTTACCCTCCTAATTGAAGTAACTAAAACGCACGAGACAGGGGACTACCCTCGTTTACAAGTTCCTTTTGTTTACGCTCAAGTATCAAAAAATACATACGGTGACTCAAAGTCACGACAATTGCGTGTCACGGTGGTAAAATTTGGTTTGTAACCATACGCAGGGTGTCCCGAGGATGACAGTGAAACGAAGTCTTGGGCCAGGAATAAACCACACTGTGCGCATTAAAAATACTGCCAGCGAGCGTAACGTTCGCGAATGAGGGTTGCAGCAACGTGGAATTTTTCGAGAGCGCGCATTTTCTTCGGCGGGCAAACCTGCGACGGAAAACGAGCCGCAATAAAGTTTACAGCGCCGACTCCCGTGTATTTATAGCTGGTCATTTCCGCGAGGATCCTCCCGTAATTCTCGGCCCGAACGACTCTGGACGTCGACGATTCGTTTCGGCTTTTTCCCCGTCCACTCCGGGGGAAACTTGTTCTCGGAGCTTCGAAGCGAGCCTCTCCTCGAGGCTTTCGTGCCTCGCATCGTCGAAGAGTCGTAAGAGCTGCGAGAAAACAAGAGAAAATTAATCTAGACAACAAAAGTGGTAGAAATTGCAAGAATACTAAGGTACAAACTCTCTCGAGCGACGAGGAACGAGGGAAGGTAACCCTAAGAGAACGAAAATCAATCGATTCGTTGAATATATTTAACCCTCTAATATTTTCGTACGGTAACTAAATCCCTGGAATGTTCTCCGCCCTTCATATTTCATGATCTTTGTAGAAATGCTTCTCAAGGTCGACAAATATGAATCTTTCAGTGATGAAACACTGTTAAATAATTTAGGAACTTATGCCTTTTCCGCGTCTACCGCTGTCCCGCGAGTCGTTAGCAACGTCTATTTTTATCTCACAATTTGCATGGAAGTTCAAGTTGAAGCTGCTGGCCCATTGATCACCCAGGGCGATCGTGCACCTCGTACACGACGTGTCAAGTTCACTCTGACGTAACATCGACGTCTACGTGGACGATGACCGGTCGCGCGGGCGAAGAGGACTCGACGAATGCGTCTGAATATACATACAACATTAGACAGTGTTTCGATCGGTGGCCAACGCCGACTATAGGAAAAACCACCACCCATCCTTGAAACTACCATCCCTCAAGTGTCAGTAGCGTGCCGTCTGTTGTTGCTATTGCACGAGTTTCCGCTGTCCAACCGGAATACAAGGTTGTTCGAGTTTTATACCAATTGATTGGGTACCCACTTTGCGGATAAGAAAAGAAGAAGGTTCTGATAAGAATTCTGGGATCCTCCAGGGCCAGTGATAGCGAAGAAATCGATCTATTATCAGAGGGTTGATCGACGAACCAGTGACACGCGTTCGAGTAATGGAACACTTTTGAACGATCCATGAAATTTCGAATGTAAGCGAATTTCATTTCCGTTTACAGATCCATTGTTTCAAACCTTCCTCGAAATTTATTTGAAAAAGCTAAACACGCGAAAGAGCTCTACCATGTATAAACGAATCTGATCCTACCTCGTAATGTTATATCGTGCAAATACTTAAGAGAATATCCTGAGACTGTTTTGTATTTAGTATTTTTTCAAGTAAAAATAGCAAAAAAACTCTATCGACGCAATAAACGCGTAGAGATAAAGATTTACTGCTTCCCGTTTGAAGTTTCTTGCCCTTCGATCGCCGTCGCCTTGAAAGAAATTACATCGCCGCGGAACCATTTCGTTCATTATCCGTTAAAGTCGCTTTTATCCGCTCGTTAAACGCCCGATGCGATTTGTCAACGCGAAAAACGGAGATTTTTTATCGAACGGTGCACGAAACAACGACTCGAGCGGAACAATTTTACCGCCGATCTTATTGGCTTTCACTTTCAAAATCGCGGCAAACGGGCGCGTTTACGTTAATTGTTGTAAAAAGGAAAGGTGCAAAATGAAAGGTGTAAAGCGAACCGACCGGAACGAGATCGCGAAATGGCCGATTCGGGACATTGCAGCTAGAAACACTTGCCCTTTCGTTTCCATTATGATCTCGTATTTATTTAAATAAAATCGAGAAGAAACGGTTTGATGCTTCGCGGATTCTCGCGCGCTAATTCACCTTTGTTCTTTGGTCGCGATTCAATTATCGATCGCGAGTTAGAATTTCTATGGAATCGCAATTAGTCAGAACTTTCGCTGCAATTATGGTAACGCGAAATTACCATCCGTTAGGGGCCTCGTCCCGTAAGCAACCGCTGGTAATTAACTGGCCTGTATTGTATAAATTTTCGTCAGAAACATAATGGCTTTCACTATTGTGATCCTTGGAAAATGAACCATTTCTAATTGTTCGCGACGATACGCGGCGAACGTTTTCATGAGAATGACACGAATCGCACGAAATCGCGTTCAACGAAAAATCAGCGAAACTCTGTTCCCTGTACACCTTTTTATTTGCTCCTCGAACGTAGTCGAATAGATGTACTTAGAATTATAACGAGCATTTGGTGCACCAAACTCCGTAAACATTAAAAAATTAGACTCTGTATTTAGGCGTCAACGAAAGTGGAATCTGTACTTTGTCATTGACTAAATGAAAATTCAAAGCATCTAGATTCCATAGATTGCATAGAAGTTTGTTTTTATTTCAAGGTTGACGAATGGTGCTTGTGAAAAATCCGTCGCCCACCCGAGGCGAGAGCCCCCAAAAAGAAAATGCGAAGAAGATTAAAAGAAGATCGCGCGGCAATAGTCCGATCGATCACAGTGTCTCCAGGGGGAATAGTCCGGGAAGGAGCAGCAGTTTAAGCTCGAAGAGGGTCGTGAAAAGCAGTTTGCTCCAGTCCAGAGGAAGCGAGTAAGCATTCGTCGACACACTGTCCCTAATATCGGTGTCGTAACGCGAATTACCTTTAATTTGCGGACGCCTCGTTTGACCATTCGTAAGCCTTTTACACCCTCTGCGATCGTACGAACCAAAGCTATTCCGCGTAGGTAAATTTACGTAAATTACTTCAACACCATGAAGTTGAAATTCGCTATCTTCACCAATAGTCTATCCAATGATTCGCGTTGACAGCGTCTGACAGAACATCAATATTTCCATCACCGTTTTGCGTTAATGAAGAGTGCAAACGGACATTCACGTCGATGTTATCGATCTCTTTAAATATTTCTATCGGTAAAGTAATATAGCGTTCGAAATAATCAATGAGGGGTGGGCGATATTTAGTCGAGGCAACATTCCTGTTCTTTCTACCATACAAATGGACTACACGTCAATGTTTATTCAAATGACGTTTCGCTATTGATTAATTTATGAATATTACAAATATCGAACATGCAATATCGTTGCATCGTCGTCTTTGTAGAAGCAAATATTTATCAACGTTCGACTTTCCTTTACGATAATGAAAAACTTACAGATAATAAACGTCGGCTCGATTCCGATTATTAACATCTTATCATTCTGATCCTCGGAGATAAGGGAATATGCATCGGATTTGCAGTGACATCGAACTATTGTTAAGAACAATAGAAAGAAAACACGGGACAGGACAAGGAAACTTTCCATTTGGTTCAGTGGTTTGCATTTTGTAAAGACGCCCTCTAAAAAACAAAAAGTATACATGTAGACTTCGATATTTGCGAAACTTGGATGATATTGATATAAAGAAATGTTGAATTTTTTATTTAATCATGTTATTGGCAAAGCCATCAGCAAGTTCACGGGGCATACAATGATCAGCAGACTTCGATTCCTGAGTTAACTGGATCTTGTAAGGACGAAAACCTAAGTCTTTACGTAGAGTTCGCCATATAGAAGTCTGAGGAATGCCGAATCACTAGAACAAGCGAATAACAACATATTACATTAGCGTACAAAATACACTACAACGCCTGAGAGTAAAAATATCTTGCACCATATGAAGAAATAGAATATTAAATAAGGTGGGAAGGAAAAAAAAAAGAGAGTATCGACTAACGGAAAGCTACCGCTCGGAATCGTCGATGGTGTTTCGCGATTAGAACGTTTCGGGACGCAGAAAAATTGTCCTGTGTAAATCTACGTGAAATCGAAATCTCCATAAGCGAATTACCACCCGGTGAGCAGCGCCAAAGGGAAAATACTTTGAAAGCGAACGCAATCGTTCCGTGGAAATTGTCCCGTAGATCCAGGCCGCAGATAAGTCCAACGTGACGTGTCGAAGAAGACTTCAACTCGCCGTTAGATTCCATTTTCCAGGCGGTGGGAAAGGGGTGGTTGTGCAAACTCACCCCCACGTGGACGTAGGTATAGGACATTGATAGACACGCGTCGCAGTTGCGACACATTTCGATGTCGTGTATCGATTACGGGACCTTGCCTGGTTGTCTCTGTTCTGTCGGTCAATATCGCGACAATCGTCAACGCGCGGCTATGTAAAGAGATCTTAACATTCAGACACGAGGAATACGTGCAACCAACGTGCAAAACGATATTTCGATCCGTAAAATCGGTTAAAAAGGTTGTTAATGCGCTGCCCGTGGATAGACGCGCGCAGAACTGATCCATCGATCGTACAGGGCATCCCATAATGGAATTTTATATACGTTACATATTAATTTAAACTGTATCAGCCCAGTCATTTTACCTGCCACGATCAAAGTCGTCTGAAATGCCAAGTGTCCGGTAGAAGTTTATATCTAATCATGAAGTTGACCTGATTCGATTAGCGAAAAGTAACAGTTCTGCATTTTATATACTTTCATCGACATTCCTCCTTCTTTACGAGGTTCCACTGTCATAACTGCAATTTAAATAAGAATATTTGAAGCAACGAAGTGAGACACGAATCCTTGGAATGACACGTATCGTGTTCAATTTTCCATCGTTTACTGAAAAACTTCTGCAATGCATAAATTTTCTGAAGTCTCCGCGAAAGAATGCTTTATCTTCTTAACCAGGACAACTAGATCTCGTTGCTTGGAAACCACCGTCGAGGCAACGTAATAGCGTTGGATTCATCGCGTTACATCGTTGGTCACGTTATTTGCAATTTGAGAAACAAGAAATGGTTTAACGAACCTTTCCCAATTTAAAGAATTCCATTCTCACCAACAGTAGTTTTTCCAAAAGTGCATCTGATAGTCTTCGTGGAAAAAGGCTAATCCAAGAAATGGTCTAGAAAGATTAAAAAGAGTCGAATGATATACATATTGACTCTTTTCTACGCGGACACGTAGTATATTATCGTATAATACTGACAGACGATTTTATCAGTTTTTATTGCAATCCAGATACCAATTGCGAGACGAATTACGAGCCAGCGAAGTACGCTGTTACACGACAGAAACGAAGCTATACGCCAGGATAGTTTCTGGATGAGACAAACGCAGGATTTACGACAGATGACTCATACGGAGAGTCAATAAAAAAAAACTGCCTTCCCTTGTAGCGACCTTGCATTATTATAGTGCAAATATTTTGATTATGCAGTATTCCAATATTTATCGAAAATTTTTATTGCTATTCGCGAAAACCAACTGTCTTAAAATAATTGAAAATTTTCAGAAGTCGTATGGCGACGACTGCAACGTTGTCCTTGTTGTCTCTGCGACGTTTAACGGCGCAAACCTTGCGTTTTATCAGGCTTTTAACATAATTGTAATTTCCGATGGCGGATACGCGATAAGCCACGACGGCTATAGTCCCGAACGTTCGAAATGACCGCAATATAATATAACTATGTAGAAGCAAAAACTATATTGTCGCGAAATTGATCGCGTAATAGTACTATGTGTAATACTGTTACGTCATACGCGATGCTATAATAAAATAGTTAAACGTATAGTTCCTGTCTCCGTGTTCGTCAAGGTGCATTAACCGACACTAAATCTATCTGAGCAGATAAAAAGTTTCGCGAAACACACTGTGCGTTAACTGGACAATCGATTAATGGGTGACTCGCTAAACGTTAACACGTTTAGAACGAGCAAACCGTAGGGCCTGCACGCTTTTAAATAATTGTTGAATGAGTTAATTGAATGCATTGATTTTTACCGTGGCTAGGATGCATTGTATGTTGTAAATAAATGTAATTTATAGAAGACTTTACCTTGACATAATAACGGCAGATATGATCGAGCGACGACACCTGGAAAAAACAAATATGCATGAGAACATAATAAAATGCAGCGAGTTAAATTAAAATTTCTATTTAAAAAAATACCTTTCTTCTGGAATTTTGAAGATTGAAATTAGCTTCCTTTCAAATACTTCAAATGAATAAAATCTGAGACAGGTGTTAGGGATGCCCCTAGACATGGAAAACTGACATGATAATCAATATGTCGACAAAAAAAATTAACAGGAATAGAAACGCGTTTCTCTGGTAACTTATAACCCCGAGCTGCAAGTCCACCTTACAGAGTAATAGATTTTGTATAAAAATTTCCACTGTCTACTAAAATTTAGAAAATTTGCAATTAACAAGGAGTTTACCGATCATTATTCATCCGGTCAATCAGTCGGTTCGTCGGTTTAGCAATCAAACTCTCGTAAATCATTAACAGAGGCCGCAACGATTTTTCAATAGCATGAACCCGGTAAAAACGAACGAAATAATAAAATAATTTGGTCAGTCACGCGATTTTTCCCTCGACGGTCACGCGTTGCCCGATTGATTGAATCTTCTCAATTATTGAGGCGCCATGATAGGAGGTCAATCACGAAACAGGCGAACGGTTACTCTAGTTGAAACGTTCGTTCATGAAAGAGCAGAATGTTGCGTCTGTGCAGAAAACTGTTAGTTTCTGGTTCGCTGGGAGTGAGGATTGTTAACAGTGATTTCGTTAATTCTGTTTGCAGGACCGGCAGCATCGAGAGGCTGGTAGACGGTGACAAAAGGGTGATCGCCACGAAACATTTGCTTCCAGAGAATAACATAAATGTCGTCGTCAGGTATCGAAAACGAAGATCGCTTTAACGACTGCATTCTTGGAATACACGGAATTCGTTACACAACCTTCGTTATCGATTCGACTTTACAACCGGTCTATTCTCTTTCAGAGTTCGTCCACTTAGCAATAAGGAAGTCAAAGCCGGCGATGATATGGCCGTGCAGTTTCCTGGAGATGGACAGATATACGTAAGCGATCCGTCTTATCTTCGTTTGTTGAATGGCTACTGTTTAATGGCTGCGGAAACTGCTCAAACTCGAGGAACATAGGCAATTGCACATAAACATAAACTTGTTTTGCACTTTGTTAGAATTATTTTACGATAAAAAGTATTTTAAAACCCTGAAACAACTAAAACGATATCATTATAAACACAATGTTTATTAATTGTTGTTTTTAACATCGAAGAAGAGAGTTGATCAGTAAATTTCGACCTTAGTGCGATGGATTTCCAAGCAGCGCTGATAAGAAGGGCAAACTATTTTCGTACAATGTCGTCTTCGAGCCCACAGCCACTCAGGAAGACATACTACAATTTTCCGGCGTTAAGAAGCTCATCGAAATGGCGGTGGAAGGGTTTAACTGCACCGCGTTCTGCTACGGGCAAACCGGAAGCGGGAAAACTCACACCCTCACAGGACCTCCAGAAATGGTGAGTAGGGGACAGTAGAAGAGGACCGTGTCTTCCAAGGAAATCGTCGTTTTTAAAAACTTTATCCAGGAAGTAATTACCAAAGGGTACAACAAATAATGTATTAAAGCAACTGGTTGCATCGAAGGCCGATAGCAACGTAGTGGAAAAGTTAATGCTAATCGGCGTACGTAGATAAGATAATGATATAGTAGACGATTCTTGTTTTGTTTCTTAGTTATACCCGACGTTTTTACATGTACAAAAACTACCAAAACTGACCACAAAAAAGGTCAAACAATTTCTAGCTTTTATCCTGAATGACTGAACATCATCTAATACAGGGCTTATTCGTGGCTTATATTCATGATGCGTTTCTGTACAACATTCGCATTGTTTGTATTTGCTTTGTACCGCCTATGTTTTATGTATGTGTGTTTCTACTTGACGACAGTTCGACGGAATGAAACATTACTCGGAGGATAACGGTCTGGTCTTCCGGTCTTTCGTCTACCTATTCAAACTCCTGCAGGAACGACAACAGTGCAACTTCGTGTTGAGGGCCTCGTTCTTAGAGATCTACAATGAGAAGGTCGGTGAATATCGATCGAATCGACCAGCGGGATCGCTGGATCGCCGGATCGCCGGTTTCACGGTACGGTTTTGACCGCAGGTAATAGATTTGTTGAATCCCGGCACGTCGAGAAAACCTCTGATGGTTCGTTGGAGCAAAAAGACGCGAGGCTTCTTCGTCGAGAATCTTTTCACCGTCGAATGCGAGGAGCTTGATGACCTTCTGGCGGTTCTCGAAGAAGGTATCCGTTATCGATCTTCGCTTTTGCGCCTGGACAGATGGACTTTAACCCCTTTTAATCGATCCCCTGCGCGCAACAGCTCATTTTCACGGCGCCGGAGAAAGGCGCGCAGTAAATTCAGTTCTAATTATAGCATTCTGGTTATCGTTTCTTTTATTCTGTCTAGAGAATGCTCGAAGAAAGGGCTTCAGGGCTTTGAATAGTAGCCAGGACTCGCCTAACCCTGTAGAAACATTCTTAGTCGATAGAAATCATAGAATTTACCTTATTCGAAGTTACGTGAAAACAAATTTCTGCTCAGGGATGAGAAACAGATCTGTCGGCGCGCACAACATGAACGAACAGTCCAGCAGAAGTCACAGCATTCTCACCGTGAACATCACTTCTGAGCAACAAGTGAGTAAAATCCCGGTAGTTTTACGTTCCGTGAAACTGAAAAAAATGAGACTACGTTAAAAATTGTCGATAGATGGACAACAGTGTGTTCATATCGAAACAAGGGAAAATCAACTTCGTCGATTTGGCGGGCAGCGAGATGACAAAGAAGACGCAGAGCGAGGGGAAAACTTTAGAGGAAGCGAACAACATCAATAAGAGTCTCATGGTTCTTGGTACAAACATAGAATTTTCATTAATTGATGCCTCAAATATTTATTTTCCACTTTCTTTGATACGTTCGCCTTCGCGCGACGAGCCTACGCGGAGTAACATTTAAATGTTTGCTCGGCTAATATAAATTGCACCGTATTGATAATGCGAAATTGAATTGCGTTTAATGTTACGAGTCCGGAAACTTTACGGCGTTAATTATGCAGAAGCATTCGTGAGGATCGATTCTCTCAGTCGTTCACTAGTGAATCGGTAGGGCACAAGTTTTTCCCACGACGTCAACGTCTTTGAGACAATCGATAATCGGACGAAATAGCACGAGTTACATAGGAAGCCCTTGAAACATTGTAAAATAAAGTAACTTTCTTACGGTGACGTTTGATTAATGTGTTTGTGATGTCACTTTTTCCCCGTCAAAGGTTACTGTATATCTTCTTTGAGCGACGGAAAGCGCAAAGGTGGCCATATTCCTTACCGGGACAGCAAGCTGACCAAACTTTTAGCAGACAGCCTGGCAGGCAATGGCGTCACGCTGATGGTAAATCGAGTTATTTAATTTTTCTGATACTATTTTGAATTCTTAGATTGAGAGACTTTGTTGGATTCTTAGATTGCCTGCGTTTCACCGGCTCGGTCGAACGCGAGCGAGACGTTGAACACTCTGAGGTACGCGGCGAGGGTGAAGAAGATACGCACGAAACCGATCGTGGTGATGGTGAGTGAGGAAACATTGTTTCTATAGTGCTTAGAAACCTAAAAAAGCTATATAAACGAAATCCAATCGTCCAGGATCCGCGAGAAGCTCTGATTCTCAGTCTGAAACGCGAGGTGGGAGCTCTTCAGACGGAAAACGAGCACCTGAAGGCGGCTCTTCATTTCGGCGGCGACACTCAAAACGTAATTCGTAGCGAGTCCAAAGGTAATCTAGAATGGATAGTAAAAAAATCGATAGGTATCCGTCGACAAGTAGAAATGAAATTGGTTTTAAAAGTAAAAAAACTTTCATATTGATTATAATATTGGTTCAGTAGTTCTTTATCCAGCGGGAGAATCATCCCGTAGAATTAATTCTATTTTCCTTACTCGACATTCGATAATGAACCCAGCCGAGAGCAAGGTGCCAATGACGCCGCCAGTCGTGGACCTGGACAAGTTGTCCGAGATGGAGCAATCGGAATTGAGTCAACTGATCCACGCCTACATCACCGAGAATGAGGCCCTTCGTCGGGAAAACGCGGAATTGTACGCCACCAGGGAGCAAGTGATACGAGACCAGGAGCTGGTCTGCAGAGAAAACGAGAGGCTGCTGAAAAAGCTCGAGGACGTTAACTCGTAAGCACGATACACTCCAGTACCGCGACAGTCGATATTTCATTAATCCCGTAGGTTTTATTACCGCAGAGTGTGCTGTCGCTCGCCGATCATACCTGCCAGGCCTACTTATTCGGCAGAAATGTTGAACGACAACAATAACGAGAACGCACCTGGCGCGACGAACGTTTGGACCAACCCTAACGTGGAACCGACTCCCCTTTCGAGCGTACGTAGAAACATCTGTAAATAAAAGAAAATGCATATATATCTTTCTTTTGGTATTAAATCGTAACGTCGAATGTCCAGGATCTTATCAGGCGTGGATTGTACAGATCCGCAGGCAACATGCCGGAAAAGATCCAGAAAGAATTGGACAAACGAAGAATTCTAGGGAGTTACAATAACGTAGCCGAGGCTTACAAAGACAAGAGTCAACATCGCCGACACAATTCATGGGACAATGGAAACGGCGTGACGAGAATGAGTCCGGATCAAACGATGTCGCCGGTAGACGTTAATCAGTAAGTTATATACGATAAGTCGACGTTCCGAGACGATAAAGTGGGTCTTCTGTATTTTACGGGACGATAACTTTTTCCGACTGTCTGTAGCTTATTTGGAAAAAACATAATACCATAGTCCACATTGTGGACTAGAAGTCAGCCATTGATATTCTGTCCACAATGTGTTATCTTAAGCGATGCAAACGTTGCTATTCTATGCATTAATTGGAGGAATGCGTGGTACTAGATACAAGAAGACGAACACGCGTCGCACTTCGACGGTCCCGGAGGAAAGAAGACCCTCGGAGACCATCGACGTTCTGGGCGAATCGATTCAACCGACCGATCATTCGTACAACGAGTCCCCGGATTCGATTCTCAGCGGTTCTTTGGAGATAGGGAATTCTGCGCCGAACACGGCGGAATCCGAGGCTCCCACCGTCCCTTTCCCGCCTTTGTCGCACTCCTCATCGCCGTTTGGGACTCCGGACCCCGAGGACGCGGTCCATTCGAGACACTCGACAAAGGAGAAAGAGGACGAGACCACGCAAAGAGCGTTTGGAAGTCCGGTTCCAATCGACGAGGACCATCCTCTTTGAATAAAAAAAAATTCAGCTGAATATGGTAATGGATGATATATTTTCGATACGTTGACCTAGGTCGGGTCAGCCATCGGCGTTGGTCGGCGAAGAGTACGATTGTCGAACCATAGTTGGATCAAACTTAATTGGCCGCTCAAGGCCACTTTCCTCGTTGTGAGTCATTCGAAGCACGACTCCTGCTTTTATGTTAAGGGGCCTCTACACGATGGGACTTACCTCGAGGCATGCTCGCGACAAACAATGGGTTTGAAACCATATGGAATCAATTCGACTCTCTGCTTCGTACGCTGTAGTCTTCACGATACAGCGAAGTCGTAAATTTCTTCAGGCATCAAAGCGGATACAGTAATGCACGGTCAACTTTTCGAAGATTTGGGGCTCGACAGTGAAAGTTACGCGTGTAGGGTAGCGTATCTGTTGTAAAATCGGACTCGAACATTGCTCGACAAAAGAAGAGAATGATTATAACGGGAGGAGACGAGATGGATGTAATAGTCGAGCAACGGTCGAAATTTGACACTTAAAAAGGATGTCGCTATGCAATATACAGGGTGTTCAACCATTCCTAGGAAAAATTTTAATGGGGGATTCTAGAGACCAAAATAAGACAAAAATCAAGAATACCAATTTGTTGATGGAAACTTCGTTAAAAAGTTATTAACAATTAAATTCAAGAATTTCAAATCATTCTGGAAAAATTATTTTCGGTTGCGGGGGTCAATTACAATCATTTTTGGTGAATACGCATACCCCCGAAATCCTATGCATTTTCGAGAAAAAAATTCCTTACTGAAAATATAAGCTGAGGCCTGAAATGGTTCCCCGAAATTTCATGCGTATCTTTAAAATGTCATAACTTCTGAACGGATTGGAGGATTTTAAAGTTTCAAAATGCAAACAACGCGTATTTTGATACAGAATATGTAAAAATTCCAAAAATATCCAAAAAGTTGTTCCTTAACCCCGTAAAATGAGAAAAACCCCACAAAAATGGTTCAATTTTCAAATGGCCATAACTCATACAATAGCGAACATATTTCAATGAAACTTTTTTCGAGAGTAGAGCTGACGGTTACCTACAAAAAAGTATTAAACAACTTTTCTGTAGAGCGTCAAACAAAATTATTAAAAATCAAAAACGAATTTTTAAGAAAAATCGACAGGTGTAGCCTAAATTTTTCGGTGAAATTGAAAAGATTCAAATCATTCTGGAAAAATTATTTTCGGTTGCGGGGGTCAATTACAATCATTTTTGGTGAATAGACATACTCCCGAAATCCAACCCACTTTCTAGAAAAAAATTTGAGAATGTGTGAAATTTTTCGACACAATTAAAAAATTTCAAATAGTCCTAAAAAAATTATTTTTGGTTGCTGGGGTCAATTACAATCATTTTTGGTGAATAGACATACCCCTGAAATCTTGCGCATTTTCGAGAAAAAAATTCAGTACGTGCGGAACTTTAAACGCTAATAACTTTTGAACAAAGCCTCTATCAAGAAATTGGTATTCTTGATTTTCGTCTTATTTTGGCCTCTAGAATCTTCCATTAAAATTTTTCCCAGGGGTAGCCGAATACCCTGCATAAAATTTTACTTTCTTTAGTTTTCATATTGTGTAAATGATCTCAAACCCATCGCTTGTCTCGAGACATGCCTCGAGGCAAGTCTCATCGTGTAGAGGCTCCTTTATACTGGCTTGCCTATTTCTCTGAAACAAGGAGTACCTACTTTCAAATTTGCATAATGGATGGAACAAAGAGATGCATGATAAAGTAGTAGTAAAATTATATGAAAGGATAAATCATTTCGAATCTTCAGTGGATTTTTTTGCAACTATAGATTGATGCATAAGTTCTCTTTGTTGATTTCTTGTTCATTTTTTATGGTTCTGTTGTTCCTATATGTTGAAGGCGATCATTATATTTCATCTCATTTCTGACCTCCTGTGACCATGAACGTAATTGTATCATACATCATTAAATTTTTAAACGACTCGAGAGTACCTTGAAATAACCTTTAGAAAAAATAAAGATATTATTCCTACTCTATAGTCTGAATATAGAGAAATTAGGTTTGTTTTGAAGAACATTCACTACATACGAATGTAAACAGTGTCGAAAGAGGAGACAGGCGAGTATTTGTTTTCAATCACGTATGTAATAACATCGCGCTTTCGAAGCAACAAAGAAACGTAGTACGTGTAGTCGAGGAAATATATCCATGTAGAGTATATATAATTGTGTGTGAGATTTAGGCGTGAATTCAAATGGTCATGGTCAAATTATTGAATTCTACCTCTACGAATAGTCTAAGATTTTATTCGAACAAAATGCTTTGCATTTGTGTGGACCACTTTATGTGAAATAGAGTATATATTTGATTGTTTTATCAGTCTTTGTTTTTTGATGAACCCTTCTGCATCATCTGTTGCAAACAAATAACAATCCAACACCTCCTATAAGAATACAGAAAATTCAAGCACAAAGATGAAAACATAGAATCAACTCAAACAATGTCCTCACTTCAGGCATACAAAGAACACCATTAAATACGTAACAGATACAAATCTCCTGCACAAAATCTAAACGTTCAATATAAAATGCTTCGTCGCTAATGATCTAGATGTCGATACTACGTTAAACTTCCACTAAAAAAAAATAAAAGAAATTTCTTGGTTCCTATCTTAATTACTTTGAAAGTCTTGAGTTCGTTACTGGACGTCGTTGGAGATAATCTATCCAATAGAAAAGAAAGCATTCAAACAAAGAAGAACGTACAAAACATTGTCTCTCGTGTATGTTTCGATAAGAAAACTCTATAAAAAGACAACGTGACCCATTGTGCTCGTTATCGACACAACTCGAACGATTCTGCAATTGCGTGCCAATAATTTGCCGGCGTCGCGTGCATAATTTATTAGATAAGTATCTTGCCACGTCAGATAAGCAGAAACATAGAAACTGATAGATTAGACCACGATGCTCATGGAGTAACGCGTACTGCAGAGGGCGTCCATGTAAGGTAGAACATCTGCTGGCTAAAACATCAGAATCAAATTACTAATACGCATTGGTTCGAGTCATCGGAATCACAATCGGTACAAACGTCGAATAACCAATCGTTTTTATCTATTCGTCAACCGTACTGCTCCATTCGCTTGTTTCGCGAACCAATCAACGTGCAACGTTCAAACGCAAAATTCACAGTGTAACTCTAACCGATGATACTGAAAGGCGAAAACAAAGAAACGGCAACCAACAAAATTTAATCGTAGAAATGATCGGTTCGTGACTTTGTCCCGATCCCCTATGACGTACTACTTCGTGAATATCGAAAGGTGGAACTTGTTTCCCCGTGAGAGAAAAAGGTACACCTTCGGTGTTCGTAGAAGGCGGTTTCGCTGTTTTACCGAGCGTGCAAATCCTCATCCCCACTTTATCGGGAAAGCATCGACGACACCTACGATCGCTGCTGGTGCGACTGCGAGAGAGCAGCAACAGAGCGGATGAAAGAACGAGAATCATTCTTGGATGGACAGTGGTATCGTGGTAGAGTGCGGTCTCAGTCTAGAAAGGGTAGACTGGAAGCGACGAAGAGGAGAGAGGTGCGGTGAGAAAGAGAGAGCGGGCGCGTGTGGCAAGGTCGGTGTGGCGTGCGGTGAAGTTTACGGGCTTTATTAAAGTGCAGTCGGCCGGGTTGAAAAAAACAATCGACGGACATAATACGGCGCCCCGTGAAGTCCGATGTCTAGTGCTGAGGTGGTGGAGAGCTCCGTTGACCCCCCAGCCAAGAAGCGACGCGTTGCTGCCACTACGGGAGGAGGCGACGACTCGACGACGATCGCAGACATGGCGAAAAATGGCTCGACGTCCCGGGCTCCCGCCGAAATCGATGAGGGTCTTTACTCCAGGCAGCTTTATGTCCTCGGCCATGACGCTATGCGTCGCATGGCATCATCAGATGTTCTGATATCCGGTCTCGGTGGTCTCGGCGTTGAAATCGCCAAGAACGTCATCCTCGGCGGCGTCAAATCCGTTACCTTACACGATGACGCGCTATGCCAGATCTCGGACCTTGGTTCGCAGTTCTATCTCAAAGAAGCAGACATAGGTGAGCATCCGGAACTGCGAATTACGGACACACGTGAGCGCCTTTAACGGCCACAGTTTTTTCTCTCGAGTTGACGTCAGGATTTCAATGGCCCCGATCGATTAGGATACTTCGATGATATAATCGATCGTTGCGCCGATTGATGTTAGAAAATATTGTTTTCAAATATTATGTACACGCGACCCTTGGTAAATGTAAATACAAATACGAAACTGTTGCAACTAACACTCTGCATAGCACACTTGCATACCAACCGTAGTTTTGTTTTATCCTTAAACGAAGATCTGAATAATTACAGTCTTTGATAGTATTTAATCATCGTATGGTTAAATGGAGCACAACTGCATTTTTTATTGTTTTATTTTCAGATAAAAACAGAGCTGCTGCTTGTTGTCAGCGCTTGTCCGAGCTCAATAATTATGTCCCTACCCGCCATTATTCTGGACCTTTAACAGATTCTTACATCAAGAAGTTCAAGGTTGTTGTTCTGACTGAAACCCCATTAAAAGAGCAATTACGCATCTCTGAAATTACTCATGCAAATGACATAGCACTTATTATAGCAGATACCAGAGGTCTTTTCTCTCAAGTGTTCTGTGACTTTGGGGAATCATTTGCAGTAGTTGATACCAATGGTGAACCACCTGTAAGTGCAATGGTTGCCAGTATCTCTCAAGATATTGAAGGTGTTGTCACATGTTTGGATGACACACGTCACGGCATGGAAGATGGTGACTACGTCACATTTTCTGAAGTACAAGGGATGACAGAGTTAAATGGTTGTGAACCAATAAAAATTAAAGTTCTTGGCCCATATACTTTCAGTATTGGAGATACATCTAAATATTCTGAATACATACGCGGTGGCATAGTAACAGAAGTGAAGATGCCAAAGACCCTACGTTTTTCTTCTTTGACAGAGGCTTTAAAGGATTCCAAGTTTCAAATCACAGATTTCGGAAAATTAAACTATCCGGAGCAGATGCATTTTGCTTTTTCAGTGTTGCACCGTTACGTAGAAACAAAAGGGAAACTACCCAAACCATGGAATCAAGAAGATGCAAATGAATTTTTGTCTCTTGCTAAAGCAATGAAAGAAGAAACAGGCAGTGAAATTGAGATTAATGTAGAATTGCTTGAAATATTTGCAAAGATATCTTCTGGTAATTTGAATCCAATGAATGCTACTATTGGTGGAATCGTAGCTCAAGAAGTTATGAAGGCCTGTTCTGGGAAATTCCATCCTATATATCAGTGGTTGTATTTTGATGCTATTGAATGTTTGCCCGTAGATCGTTCTGAACTCACAGAAGAAGATTGCGCCCCCACCGGATCACGTTACGATTCACAAGTCGCCGTTTTCGGTCGTAAATTTCAGTCAAAGATTGGAGGCTTAAAATATTTTGTTGTAGGAGCAGGAGCCATTGGTTGCGAATTGCTCAAAAACTTTGCAATGTTAGGTGTTGGTGCTCAGAATGGTAGTGTCACAATCACTGACATGGATTTAATTGAAAAATCTAATTTGAATAGACAATTTCTATTCAGACCATCCGATGTCCAACAATCTAAATCGTCAACAGCAGCTAGAGTTATAAGAGGCATGAATCCAGATATGAAAGTAATTGCTCATGAAAATAGAGTTTGTCCAGAAACGGAAAAGATATACAACGATGACTTCTTTGAGGTTCTAGATGGAGTTGCAAATGCTCTAGATAACGTTAATGCTCGTATTTATATGGACCGCCGTTGCGTATACTATAGAAAACCTCTTTTAGAGTCTGGTACCTTAGGTACAAAAGGCAATACTCAAGTTGTTGTTCCATTCTTAACTGAATCTTATAGCTCCTCTCAAGATCCACCGGAAAAGAGTATACCAATTTGCACATTAAAAAATTTCCCCAATGCCATAGAACATACTCTACAATGGGCTAGAGATAATTTCGAAGGTTTATTCCGTCAGGCTGCGGAAAATGCCGCTCAATATATATCTGATCCACAATTTGTAGACAGAACGCTAAAACTGCCTGGGGTACAACCTCTAGAAGTATTAGAATTTGTTAAAACGGCATTGATCGATGAAAGACCAAAAACTTTCGCAGATTGTATCGCATGGGCTCGTTGCCATTGGCAAGAACAATATAGCAATCAGATTAGACAACTTCTATTCAACTTTCCTCCTGATCAAGTAACATCCAGTGGCCAACCATTCTGGTCTGGTCCTAAACGGTGTCCCGATCCGCTCACATTCAACGTTAACGATCCATTGCATTTAGATTATATTGTAGCTGCTGCTAACTTGAAAGCAAAAGTCTACAGTATTCCTATAAATAGAAACCGGGAAGAAATCGCTAGGATCGCGGCTACCGTGAAAGTACCAGAATTTACGCCGAAGTCTGGAGTGAAGATCGCCGAGACGGACTCACAGGTTCAAGTATCCAATGGCAGCGGAAATATCGACCATGAGAGACTTAATCAATTACAAGAAGAACTGCCAAAGGTTGAGGAACTTAATGGTCTAGTAATTCATCCGCAAGAATTCGAGAAGGATGACGATACTAATTTCCACATAGACTTTATCGTGGCTGCCTCAAATCTCCGTGCTACTAACTATAAAATTCCACCTGCCGATAGGCATAAGAGTAAACTCATCGCTGGTAAAATCATACCAGCAATCGCTACCACCACTTCGGTAGTGGCTGGTCTGGTATGTCTCGAATTGATCAAGTTAACTCGTGGCGTCAGAGATTTGGCTATCTACAAGAATGGATTTGTCAATCTGGCTCTACCATTCTTTGGGTTTTCCGAACCTATTGCTGCGCCAAAACTGAAATACTACGACACAGAATGGACTCTGTGGGACCGGTTCGAAGTAAAGGGAGAACTAACGCTCAAAGAATTTTTAGATTACTTCAAAGAACATCACAATCTGGAGGTCACTATGTTGTCGCAGGGTGTCTGTATGCTTTATTCGTTCTTCATGGCTAAACCTAAATGCCAGGAACGCATGGGCCTTCTGATGTCGGAGGTAGTGAAAAAGGTATCAAAGAAGAAGCTAGAACCCCATGTACGCGCATTGGTATTCGAACTCTGCTGTAATGATTCTGATGGTAACGACGTGGAAGTCCCATATGTTCGTTACACCTTGCCCTGAAGCTTGTTGGAATCACTGGATAAAGACATGTCTACTTAACTGACTTAGCCGTAGTAATTTCTACAAATTTCTATTTTACAATATGGTACAGGAGAATATTAATCTTTGTCTATATAAGGCTCTCAAAGTAAAGATTCATTTCTATCGCCAATGCTTTGTAGCATTTATAGGAAGCGAGCGCGGGATCCACTGAGTTTATCTTACTATGATCTCCCTTTTGCTGAAAATCAATTTTAAAGCTATTAACTGTTTCTTTGTTATCACCCCTGTGATCCTTTAATTCGTTTGATACTCATAAATTCGTTGCTAATATGTTTCTTTTGCCTCCCGGCCAGCTATGTTTCTCGAATAAAAAAAAAAGAAATAATATTAAATAATTCAAACTGTCGATAAAAAGATAAGCGGGTAAAAATTTGTACAAGTGAATCTGCGCTATACTGTTTCTGAGATGAAAAAAAAAGAAAATAAGATAATAAAGCTACTAAAGAATTTAAGTCCATGTTGGATCATAAGGGAATTGTCATGGTAAGAATTTTCTTAGGGCTCACCCTTCACAACTTTATGTATAGAATCGAATGTAAATTACTGGATGATAACTCAATGATCCTTAGACGAATAACGCTAGCACAGTTAATATAGACCATAGATAAACGTGAAAATAATGAGCGCAAATATATCTTGCCTCCGTCGAATTTTCGTTTTTTTTTTCTATTTACAGTTACTTTGTATTGTCAGGCGCGTGTAAGCAAAAGAGACAAAAAAAATCACGAATTTTTTCACTCCATTTTTGCCTCTTGTTGTCAGACTTGATACTTTAAGACTTTATATAATCGATACGTTATCAATAAATTTAATTTGTCCGCTTTATTTTTCGAACACCGAATGATCTATTGGCTAAGGCTGGTTGTTGTTACAAAGAATACTGCATTTAAATTTGTAAGAACACGATTTTGAAAAAGCTTCGAAAAAAGAGTTGCACACTTTAGACCAAGGAATAAAAAATAAAAAAAAGGAAGATATTTTGTTAATTTTAGGATAATGCGGATATTTATTGTATTATTTTATCAATAGATAATAAATAGATGTGTTTGGATTTCAAGAGACATGAGAAATATAGTAACAAAAAATACGATAATTGTTTTTTGTTACCTGACCTTTCCGTTTATTTGATTTAAAAAAAATTTTAATGTCCACGAACTACTACAAAAATACGATTAAGTTACGTTCTAATTATGGACCAATTGTATCGTTCAATTTTTTATTTAATATTAAATTACAAGAAACTTGCTGTGTTTGTCATTGTAAAGAATAATGCCAACTTTCCAATGTTTCCCAATGAAATTCTTGCCAAACAAAACCAAACTTGCGTAATAAAAATGAATAACTTTCAGATCTATATATTTAAATTTGTTCATTTTGCACGTTAATAAATTGTTGCGTACGTTAAAATTTTAAATTTCAATATGTCTGCGATTATGTTGGAGGAAATACGCGGGAAAAGACGATGTTCAGTGCGATGCTAAGGTTAGAAACGGCGCGAAAATGGCACAGCGTAGCATAACGTAAGTAAAACGACGAAAAATTGAAATTAAATTTTTGTTAACTTTGCATTGTATCGAATTAATAGGTATACAAATTCTTTGATATGTTTTTCATTTCTTTTTGAATTAATCATAGATCGTTCTTCACGAAAGCGACTACGAAGAAAGATAGCAGCGATGCAAGTAATTCAAGGTATGTTATAATTTAAGTCTTTGTTGTTTCATCAGATTCTGCAATTATGTTCAAACTTGTGGCATGTGCACGGGTAACTGTATGCTCTAAGTGTTTTTGGTATATTGTATGTATGAATAAAGTATCACGATCGAACAATGTTTCGCGTCTGACAGTAAACAATGTTTTTAATTGGATACATACTAGCAGCAAAGTTATTGACAATGAACATGACAGTCCCGGGAGTGTTAAACGAAAAAGGGAAGATAGCACGGAGAACAGCGAATCGAGGTAAGTGGAATTGAAATAAATATTTACAAAAATATACTATGTACATGATTGATTCCAGAATGGGTATCAGTATTTTGAATAATGGCTCTATATATTATTTTGATAGTACACATTTCTTCATGATAATTTTGTTGCAGTCCTCCTTCCACAAAGAAATCAGAAAATAAACTTTCAAAGAGAAATACCACATCAAAGACTCCTTCGCGGTCAAAGAAAAATGGTAAACAGTTAAATGACTTGCATCATTTTCACAATTAATAGTTCATTGAAAATAAGTTACATGTGACATACTTTTAATATTGCCCAAATATTTAAGGAAAAACACCTAAAATCAAATTGTCACCTGAAGTATCTAAGCAAAATGAAAAAAGAAAAGCAAAAACTCCAAGTAGTGGTACTAAAAAAAAGAAAAAGACTGATAGATCAAAAAGTACTGAAAAGAAAAATATTACAAAAAGTGAGACACCTGATGAGGCTCAAATAGAGAATGATTCAGATTTAGGAAATGAGAATCAGTCTAGCTCTCCTAATTCTGAATTTCCGAAATCTTCTGATAAGTCTGATATTAAAACAAGTTCAAAAAAAGCTACTAAGAAAATTGTTAAAAGATCAAGAATAATAGCACCCATTGATGACTCCAGCGATGAAGATGGTCATTTGCCAGTGAAAGTATGTTCATTCATTGTACAATTTTTTCAAATGTAAATGTAATTTAACATTTAACTACATCAATTATTAGATGCCAGATAGTCCAAAAAAATTAGATCTCAATGGAAAAAAAAGCAGTTTGGTTAACGAAAAAAACGAATCCGACGAAGAAGTTTTAAATGAGGAAAAAGAATCTGATAAGAAAATTGAAGACCATACTGAAAACAATGAAGAAGATGAACAAGAAGAAGATGAAAAAGAAGAAGATGAAAAAAAAGAAGATGAAAAAAAAGAAGACAAAAAAGAGAAGCCTATTAAAAAGATGCATAATTTCTTTGGTAAATATTTAATTATTTATATTAAAGAAACGACATATTTAATGTAATATATATTTTTTAGCACCAAAACAAACAGAAAATATAAAAAATGATGGGGAGAAGAAGAAACCTGGAAGTCATTCCTATAATCCTAGTGCCTCAAAATATCATCCAATAAATGATGCATTTTGGAAACAGGGAGAAAAGTATGTTTTATATCTTTCTTTAATAATTTATTTATCGTATGAACATATTATTTTATAACCTTTTTTAATAGAGTACCATACATCGCGCTAACACGTACATTGGAATTGATCGAAGAAACAAGTGCGCGATTGAAGATAATAGAAATTTTATCGAAGTACTTCCGTTCTGTCATAGTTTTAAGTCCAAATGATTTACTTCCAAGTATATATTTGTGTCTCAATCAGCTAGCACCCGCTTACGAAGGTAAACGCGTATAAAAATGTATTTGTCCGGAAAAGATTTATGTACGCAAAACTGTTCCAGGAATTGAATTGGGTGTAGCAGAGACAAATCTTATGAAAGCTATTGCACAATGTACTGGTAGAACATTAGCTCAAATAAAAGTAGATGTACAGCAAGTTGGGGACTTAGGTATTGTGGCAGAGGGTAGTCGTTCTAATCAAAGAACAATGTTTCAACCACCTCCACTAACAGTATCTAATGTGTACTCTAAATTGAAGGAGATAGCGCAAATGACTGGTTCTGCGGTATGACACTTGTTAACATTGACGTATATGTCGCAGTTCCACGTATGTGTAAATGTAATCTTTGTTTACAGTCTTTAACCAAGAAATTGGATAAAATTCAGTCGTTATTCGTAGCGTGTCGTTTCACTGAAGCCAGATATTTAATCAGGTCTTTAGCGGGTAAGCTTCGAATCGGCCTAGCAGAACAATCTGTATTACAAGTAAGTACACATATACTATATAGAGTTATAATAAATCTAATGGACGATCAATATTTTTAGGCGTTAGCATTGGCATGTACAATGACTCCACCAGAGCAGGGCTCTTCACCAGAGGTTTTAGATGCAAGTAAAAGTATGTCGAGCGATTCCTTTAAGCAAAAGTATGATGAGACGTCGCTTATTCTTAAAACAACATATTGGTAATGGTTTTCTTCTATTACGATTACTTGAACTGACATTTTAATATATTTAATACGAGACATATTTTTCTAGCGAGTGCCCGAATTACGATAAAATAGTTCCAGTTTTGTTGAAAGAAGGAATTAAGGAGCTACCGAAAAAATGTAAAATCACACCTGGTATACCTATGAAACCTATGTTAGCACATCCCACGAAAGGTGTTCAAGAAGTATTAACGCGTTTCGAAGGATTGAAATTTACTTGCGAGTGGAAGTACGACGGAGAAAGAGCTCAGGTTCATTTTCCTCAGTCAATAAGAATATCGTGATTACATACTGTCAAAAATAGAGTGAAGTTTAATTATAAATAAATATTTTACAGATTCATTTTGCTGAAAATGGTGATATTAGTATTTACAGTAGGAACCAGGAGAACAATACTAGTAAATACCCTGATATTATAGGACGATTCAAAAATACACGAGGGGAGAGTATTAAAAGTTGTATACTCGACTGCGAAGCGGTTGCATGGGATAATGAAAATAAGCAAATACTTCCGTTCCAAATACTCAGTACAAGAAAACGCAAAGTAGTATCAACTTTACATAGAGTTCGTATTGTTAATTAATTCAGAAGTTTTATATGCGTTCTTTTATTACAGGATGCAAATGAGGCAGATATTAAAGTACATGTATGTGTATTTATGTTTGATTTACTGTATTTAAATGACGAATCGTTAGTGAAGCAACCATTCATAAAACGTCGCGAGCTATTGAAAGAAAACTTTCAAGAAATCGAAGGAGAATGGAAATTCGCAACTAGTTTAGATACATCAACCATGGAAGAAGTACAAGATTTCTTAGACGAATCGGTCAAAGGTTAGATTCTTTATATAAAAGTGATTAAGTATCAAAATATACATAATAAAATTTAAACAGGTAATTGTGAGGGTCTCATGGTAAAGACCTTGGAACAGGATGCAACATACGAGATTGCTAAGCGATCTCGAAATTGGTTAAAACTCAAAAAAGATTACTTGGATGGTGTAGGCGACACATTAGATTTAGTGGTTATTGGTGGATACGTAGGAAAAGGAAAGAGAACAGGAACTTATGGAGGATTTCTTTTGGCTTGTTATGATCAAGAGAACGAAGAATATCAGAGTATCTGTAAGGTGAATATCGTTAACTTCGCAATAAATTCACAGCAATTAGAGGCGTGTAATTCCTCGATCGTATTATCCTCTATTTCTTTGATTAGATTGGTACTGGATTTAGCGAAGAGGATCTTCAGAAACACACTGAATTTCTTAAAGAACATAAAATACCTCAAACTAAGACATACTATCGTTACGACGCATCCCAAGAACCCGATCACTGGTTCGAACCTATTCAAGTTTGGGAAGTTAAATGCGCGGACCTGTCTGTCTCGCCTGTTCATAAGGCAGCCAGTGGAATTGTTGACCCAGAAAAGGGTATATCTTTGCGATTTCCACGATTTGTTCGCATTCGCGATGATAAAACTAACGAGGAAGCCACTTCAGCGCAACAAGTAGCATCTATGTACAGAAGCCAAGAGCAGATCAAAAATCAAACATCAGGAACAAAAAATACAGCAGAAGAAGATTTTTATTAGATTGAACACTAAAAAGGATACAATTTTTTATAAGTTACTATAAATAAAATTATGTAAATTTATATGTTCGGAAACTTTGCATTTGATAAATTGTCTGTATTAGTTATAAATTGTCATATGAATGAATATTCAGTTTTAAAGAATATTTTTTATTAAAATGTAAAATTAAATAATGATATTAATTATATTTTTAAACTAAAAAACTATAGATATGCGTGTTTTAGACTAGACTAAACATTTTTGCATTTGATTCATAACCTATTATAAAGCTTAAAGAACGCTATATATTTCCAGCTGTGGGACGTGGGGCAATTAGAATCTAGTCAAAGAGTAGGGGGATGTGTTTAGCATGCCGTATTCCCCTCGAATGGAACGAAGTAACGAATTTTTGGTTGTATTAAATTTGTAGAATATCGTTCACACGCCATCTGTAAACCTGTATTTAGAGATAATTCGGTAATCGAACCATGAATGGGGCTGTTGATCGGCGGAAAAGTATCATGTTTGACATATGGCACAATTTATTTTACATCATTCCAATCAAGCGTAAAACACGGAATGTATGATTTTTTAAAATACAAATCAGTGCAATTATACTTGAGGTAATTACGTGACATTCTTCAAACGTTACGAAACGTTAAGCGGAACTGATCCGAACCTAACCTATGAATCAGCTCTTATTTTAATATGCCATGTGATTCGTAATTACTATTAGATAAATGTTTTCTGTGTTTTGTGCTTCGTTTCTTTTTAACTCTTTGATACGTTAAAATGAGTTTAAAATATCACGAGAAAGTCTATTACAAAATTGAAATAACACCAATTCAGAGTTTTAATACACTTCGTATTTGTTAATACAATTTGTTTAAACTTGGTACGATACTTATACGTACGTTTAATGTGTTACATTTTCAGATATAATATAAAAATAAATAGTATAAAATGAAGCTTGTATCAAAGTATATTGATAAAGATAGAAAAGGGTAAGTAGACTAGTAATAAACTATTATATTGAGAGCAAAGAACTGTTAAAATTCAATGTGAACAAAAATTATTAGGAGTGTGACCCTTGTCCCAGAAAATACAGAAGATATGTGGCATGCATATAATCTAATTAGTGAAGGAGATCTTATTACTTGCTCTACTATTAGGTATGAATGTTAATGTTGCTTACTATTATGAAACAAGTGATAGAAAGCATAATGATTAATATTGGATTGTATTTGTTATAGGAAAGTGCAAACAGAATCTGCAACTGGTAGCTCTAATAATTATAGGGTGAGGACTACCCTTACTATATCTGTGGAAGGCATTGATTTTGATACACAAGCATGTGTTTTAAGACTGAAAGGTAGAAATGTAGAAGAAAATAAACATGTTAAGGTAATTCAATTTACAATTACCAAAAAATTTATGAAGAGTGCACATCATATGCAACCATAATTCTTTGTAGATGGGAGCATATCACACATTGGATGTAGAACAAAATCGAAAATTTACAATTAGTAAAATTAAATGGGATTCTATTTCTTTGGAAAGAGTTGATACAGCATGTGATCCTACACAGGTATAATTGTAATGATAAAAATAATAATAATAACAACAAACCACATTCATAGAGCAATTATATATTTTACTTCAGAATGCAGATGTTGCAGCTGTGGTGATGCAAGAAGGCATAGCGCATATTTGTTTAATAACTTCAAATATGACAATAGTACGTGCTAAAATAGACCAAGTTATTCCTAGAAAAAGGAAAGGAAACGTTTCACAGCATGAAAAGGTTTCAGTTATTAATTTTAACCTTTAACCGGTATCGTATTTGGAATCGTGAGACATTACAATCTCTTAAAATATAGTCTTAAAAAATAAAAAGTGACAACTTTCTCGTATAATTGTCTTTATTTTATGCAGTTGATTATACAAAATACTAGAGCATAATATTAACCCTTTGCACTCTGAGACTTTCCTCTGATCAGTTACCAGCAACAGATATTTGCTTTACAATCTTACTGAACTTATTTATTGACAAAAAAATCAAACTTTTACAACTTATATTTTTATAATGCGTGATAACGTTTGAAACAATCACAGATTTGCAATGCAGTAACTGCGGCAGTGGGTGCCGACATAATTTTTAAAAAATATTATATTTGCGTAATTTTGTCGTTTATAGTCACCAAAAATTTCTTTGTGTCTCCTTAGAGAAGACATTCGAGTTGTTTGTTGGATTTGCGATATCTTTTCAGAAGGGGCAGCCGAGTGCAAAGGGTTAACTACGAATAAAATAAATGTAATCGTTAGGGTGTTAAAATATCCCACAATACCAGGTAAGGGTTAAATAAATTTTGATCGTGTTTATACGAAATAGAAGTTTATTAGATAATTTTTAGGGTTTAGCAAGATTTTATGATAATATAATGCAAGGAATCTTGAGACACATCAATTTTGATATTGTGAAATGTATTATTCTTGCTAGTCCTGGTTTTGTTAAAGATCAGTATATGGATTACATGATACAACAGGCCATTAAAACAGACAACAAAGTAATATTAGAAAATAAGGGTAAATTCTTACTTGTCCATTCGAGTTCCGGTTTCAAACACTCGTTAAAAGGTAAATTAATTTTTGTTTTAAGAAAGTAAAGAAAATATAATGGTACATGTTTTCGTAATTTTTTACAATAGAGGTTCTGGCTGAACCAGCTGTCATCTCTCGAATCTCTGATACGAAGGCAGCAGGCGAGGTGAAAGCTTTGGAAGCATTTTATACAATATTGCAAACTGATCCTTCTAGAGCGTTTTATGGAAAAAAGCATATTAATAAAGCTATCGAATCACAAGCTGTCGAAACGTTGCTTATCTCGGACAAATTATTTAGGTAAATAAATAATCAAGATTTAAAGCTTTCGTGGTCGGAGTTAATAGTAGTATTCATGGCTTTCGGATGGATCCCGTGTCTAACAATCAGCAAAACTTGCTGAACTTAGACGCGGCATCCACGTAGAAGTCATGAATACTAAAATAATATATTTTTGTAATTTAGTTTTACTTATTTATTTATCGTAATAATCCCTACATCCAGGTGTCAAGATATTGCTTTGAGAAAAGAATATGTTGAGATAGTCGAAAGTGTAAGAGAGTCTAACGGGGACGTGAAAATATTTTCGAGTCTCCATGTATCTGGCGAACGTAAGTTTCGCGTATTTTAGTTTAACAACTTAAGTTTTGGCATTACTCAACATTTTTACAACGTTTTTAATTATGTTGTGCCTAGAATTAGAACAAGTTACGGGCATAGCAGCTATTCTACGTTTTCCTATGCCAGAATTAGAAGATGAAAGTGATGGTGAAAGCGATTCAAACGAAGATGATTAAAAAGGTTAATACAATGTGCTAACGTATAACTTTGTATATAATTTGTGCTGTGCGCAATCAAAATATATTAAAAATAAAAATACTGATTGTTTTTTATAAATATCCCGTTACATACATGCATACTTTTTGTTTGGTCTGAATAATTTTGATTAATTTTAGCATCACGTGGTGGCGCTATGCGATGTTTCTGAATCCTTGAGTCTACGTTCTAAACTTACAGTTTTCTTCAGGGGAGCACGTGGAATCTTTCTACAATTTATTTATAATTTGTTAATATAGTCTTTAAATGGTTAATTGTATTAAAAATCACAAGTAAGAATGGTCGTAATAGGGAAGAAAAAGGTATGTTAAAATGGTTTCTATTTCTGTTGTAAATAACAATGCTGAAACAATTGAGGTTATTTTGTATCGTAAGTTAATGTCGACATAATATTTTTATATTTGTAGTATGAAGTTGGAGAGGGAGCACAGTTTATGTCAAGGAAAGCTGCTTTGAAAAAGTTGCAGCTTTCCTTGAATGATTTTCGGCGATTATGTATATTAAAAGGTATATATCCAAGAGAACCGCGTAACCGTAAAAGAGCTCAGAAGGGTGAGCCTGGTATCAAAACACTATATCACAAGAAAGACATTCAATTTTTATTGCATGAACCTATAATATGGAAATTACGCGACTACAAGGTACATTGAATCGATCCATTGTCGCAAAAGTTGTGATAAAAATTTTCAAACTTCTAACAAAATGTCATACTTTCAGATATTTAATAAGAAAGTTGCTAGGGCGAAAGCTTTAAGAGAATTTTCAGAAATGAAGAGACATTTAAGGAATCATCCTGTTTTAAAATTAGATCACATTGTTAAAGAACGTTATCCAACATTCATTGATGCTCTCAGAGATCTGGATGATTGTTTGACATTGTGTTTTTTGTTTAGCACATTTCCATCTCTTCATCGTATACCTAGAGATCAATCATTATTATGTAGAAGATTGACAGTTGAGTTTTTACATGCTGTGATTAATGCTAAGGCATTACGCAAAGTATTTGTATCAATTAAAGGATATTATTATCAAGCTGAAATTAAAGGACAAACAATAACTTGGATTGTACCTCATCACTTTTGTTTTGAACCACAAGTAAAGGATGATGTAGATTTTAAAATCATGTCTATATTCGTGGAATTCTACATTGTATTGTTAGGCTTTGTTAATTATAGACTTTATCATACACTTAATTTATATTATCCACCAAAATTTACTACTAGTGGTAAGTTGATTTTTTTTTATATTTTTTTTTTGTTTTTACAAAAACAATGTATTCATTAGTATAATATTTAATATTTTATGGATAGAACATAATGAAAAGATGCTTGTTGATGAGGAGACATACGTGTCTGAGAGAATAAGTGCATTGAATGTACCATTAAATAGTTTGGATCCTTCCATGCAGAATGCAGAAGATGAAGAGCTACAGATGGATCAGTTTTCAAATGTAATTATGAAGTAAATTATTATAATTTATTAGAATTTAATTGTGGTCGGCGAACCTTAAGGAGGCTGCAGATATTTGGGAGTCCGCAAACTCACATGTATGGGATTTTTTTAGGAAGGTGACGCCACAAAATTGGAAGAAGCCAGGATAGAAGCAGAAAAAATTAAAAAATTGAAAACACTGTTCAAAGGCTTAAAGGTTTTTTTAAACAGAGAAGTACCAAGAGAACCATTGGTTTTTATTCTGCGTTGTTTTGGCGCGGAGGTGTCTTGGGATAAGTTGCTCTATGTCGGAGCAACGTTCGACGAAAGCGACGAAACAATAACTCATCACATAGTAGATAGACCTAGGATGCCGAAACAATATATTTCTAGGTAATGCGTGATTTCCTTGTTTTACTTATGGGTACTTCCAGTCATTTTAATCGCTTTACGCACTTACAGATATTATGTACAACCACAATGGGTTTTTGATTCAGTTAATGCTAGGGAATTGTTGCCAGTGGAAAAGTATCTAATGGGCTGTATACTTCCGCCGCATCTTTCGCCATTCTCGATCAGTCGACACGATCAAGTATACATTCCACCAGAACAACGTACTCTCTTGGACCCTGGATTTAAATTAAAGGATGGTATGTTTTCGTGTATATTATATTATAATGGAGAGTAATCGTTGTTTTATTCATCAGCGGAAAGCGAATCCGACGAAGTATCAGAAGATAATGCTGATGAAGAAGGAGACGAAAATGTGGAAGAAAATGTGGGCGAAGAAACTGTGAAGAGCGAAGAAGAAGATTCTGACGAAGAGATGTCAAACATAGACAAAGAGAAGCAACAAGATCGGTTGCAAAAGGTTAGCTATTATCGTCGGTGAAATATAATGTTACGAAAGTTCTCGCGATATTAATTTATCATCTGTGTGTTTATTAATTGCAGAAAAAGGAAATGAAGGTGAAAAGTGGACAGGTGACGAAAGAAGATCCATGGGAGAAGAATCGTCAGGAGAGGCAGGAGTATCGACTTCGGGAACGGATGATCAAGAAAAAACACCGAAACTTGTACAGGAGTATGATGAAAGGTCGCGAGGAGAGAACTAAAGAAATGCGGCTGCTCCGAAAGAAGAGGCGTCTCCATGATGCTGCTGAGAAACAAAAGCGCAAAGAGCAACGCAAACAAAGAAAAGCTACATCTGCTAAATAAAAAACAAATAACAATAAAGAGTTATCGTATAAATATAATATTTAATAAACTTGTTTTTGATGTGTATGTACACAACAGTAATCTTAAGTATCATGAATTTGTACTTTTATGTTGATTAGATGCAAGATAGTCTATAGCGTGGATACATTTGTGTTACCTTCTTCCTCCGAGTTTCTGAATTACCCCATGGATCAGCGAGTAAGTTATAAAGATCATTTAGTGCCAAATATTACCGTGTTAAAAGAAAAGCAAAGTACACATGAGAAAACGGTAATTACGTATGACTCAACCCAACAATATCGATTTTATAGAATCGTAACCGGAGCATTGATTCAAACCTTTCCCATTTATAATAGTTACATCATTTCGGTTCTTCGTAAGTGCGTCAGTCAAAACTTTTATATAACAGCCATTAACATCTATTAGGGGTATGCAAAAGTTTCCATCGTTCGCACGTATGTGGCTCTGCGTGCTACTTTCGATCGATATATCGATAGGTCTGCTTCATTACGCTTTTGGCGATTAACCTATAAAGTGAGCGATAGGTTTCACAGACTCTCCGATTAAACAAACAATATTAACAAAGTGGGTTCCGCAATTGTTCAAATCGCGTTAATAAAACAAATTGGCCCGAAAACGATGGAAACTTTTCGCCTATTCATAACATTTTTAGAACTTTTCCAATCCCTGATTCGAAGGACCACCATTCAGGCGTCATGCTTGCCTCGAATTGCACGCCGAATTTTCGTATCAAAAGTGAAACTCGGACGACTGACACGAAGATGAAAGGTAAAATGAAGATTTGGTGGCGGAACTCGATGACTTTCTCGTCGGCCTTACGTACAGTTACGCGTAATGGAGAGATGCCTTTAATCCAGTCCTCCCACTTATCGGAAGCCTACGCGTACGACGATCCTGGTCCCTACTTTTCTACCGAAGGACTTTGAAGGCCAGGCTGCCCACGCGTGTTAGCCTACGCGATCCATGCACCCACGAAAAATCATTTCTCGCGGTGGTCTTTGGAGTTTGATGGTCTTTTGTGTGTAAAAAAGAAAAAAGATCGAATTTGCAGGTTCGATAACTCTGGCACGACCACCCCGAAGGTCGTGCATTGATCTCGAGCGATTCGAACACGGACCTGCTCTTTATTATGGGCTCGTCTCGGTTGTCCGGTTGCTAACGCGTCTTTGATTAGCCCCGTGACTTTCGCTAGACGAATTAGCATCGAAGGACAAACCCATTTGACGGCGGATAAATTACCGTCGATGCATCCGGTCGGTTCCCGCGTACCGTTCCCGCATCACCTTGAACATCAAACATCGGAATCGGATGCTAGCCCGCGGAATCGCGACTCTAACATTAGCATTTAATCGGTAACTATTAACTTTTGACCCTGTACACCCTTAACTCTTCTTTGTTTGGCTTGTAATACCGTTTCGAATTACAGGGCGAAACGTTCCAGTCAAAGAAACGTAGGCGGTCTTCGTATCTCGACGAAATAGCAAGACAACAAGAAACTAATTAAAGTGCACAGTGCAATACCGAGTATATTCAGTTTTTTTCATCCAGCAAAAGCTCGCGTTTCACTCTATGACGAATGCAGAAGCTATAAAATTTACGCGGTTATTAAGGGCAAGAGAAATTGATTCTTTCTTATTTGAGAAATTACGTGGTTGTAGACTGGAAAATAGCTTCTGGATAATTTTGTTCGAAGATGATGTTTGCCCGTTTATTAAAGATACATTATTTTTTCAGAACTTGCATTTAGTGAACATGTTTTTATCATAGATTCTGTTGTAATTCTTGAACTATTAGGTTTAGGGCACAAGTACACTGATACTTTTTTATAAAGACCTCTCACCGTTTTACAGATACAGTTTTTCCTAGTTGTGTGGGAGACCCTGTGTAACATACATCCGAATCAACATAGAAATTGTAGATGGTCTATGGAAGAAAGGCATATAGGTATTCCACGTCTCAATTATTATTTGTTCCATGTATTCATAATTCGATCATATTTTCCTTCCTGACGATTTTCCATGGCACGTCATCGTGATCGTAAAAGCAAAAGTACCCCGCGAGTCACTCACACAGCGAAAGTAAAGGATCGCCCCGTTACTCGTCGGATTCCTAAGCGGTCGTTGTTGCGATTTTCACTGTTGGCCCGCGGACGAGTTCAATTTCGATTCGAGACACGAACCACACCGTTTGCAATACTCCGTTTGACGTACTCCGCGTCTCTAACAATGGCGATCGTACCGATAAATCGTTCGTACTTTCGCAATTTTCAGCCAAGAGCTTAGTCGCTACGGTAGAAAATAATGGAAAGTTAAGAGCAAACGGTCGGCGAAAGAATCGTGGTGTTAATTGCGCAATATCCGAGTGCAGAAGTAAATCGACGGTGAGTCAACTAATTTATCGCCGTTCGAAAAATTTTTATCCGATCGAGTAACAGGCGAATCGCGTCACGTTGCGTAAAAAAAAAAAAACAGGTTCAGTTCCGGCGCAAGGTCAGCGATCGCCAAACGCTCGTTTCTGAAAATCGCCATTGTCTCATTTAAGGGGTTACACACAGGTGATTGAAGGAATCGATTTTTCAACAAATCTTTATTTTCTTAAGCAGAAGTTTGCGAGAGTATTTCCACCTAGTCCCATGTTTTCAATCGTCTTTTTTTAAACACAAAACCCGTGTAATGGATGGTTCTTCTGGTTCATAAAGTATGGCATAAATTTATCTGTTTCAAAGATTTTATAATTTATGGGCATACATTTATGTCTTGCTCTCTGAACCAGGAGAATCATCAATTTCAGAGATTTTATGTTTCCATAGCACAACAAAAATGTAAGTTTATGTCCTGCTCTACGAACCAGGAGAGTTGAAATAATAGAACCTGTCGTTATTAAACATAAAACCTTATCTGTAGACGATGATACATGGCTTCTCGATCCACGACCATAATACTTTCGCTCTTACGAATCGAGAATATTATAACCGAAGAGTAAGTAAGTGGTCCGCTGGACTGATGTCAGTACTTAAGGATTAAATAAGAAATACTTCGTTCAAATGTAGCATTACCCGAGGGTTCCATGTTTAATGGGTATGGCGTTTTTTAATGTAATCACTTTTATTTCGGACGCTCATCCCGCTCGGAAGAGTGAATTCGTTGGAGAACGAATTGTCGGTAGCGAACGAACGATCGAAACGTTTTGCATCGATTTCTTCGGCTATTTGCAGTGGTGACAGAACCGACGGCGTCGGTGAAGTCACCGACACTCGGATGGATTCACGTGTGCGTTTACTCGCGTGCAGATTGGGCGCTTACGTCATACTTGCTATTCCTGTTCCAGGCCATCTCCGACGAACATCCTCAAGACGATCGTTCTCCGAACCCGCGTTGCGATTTAATAACGCCCTAATCTCTTTCGCCGAGGAATAGTGATCCTGCGAGCGCGTAGATGTTGCCGCGCTTCGCTGGATCCGTGGATTTCGACGCTATCCCCATGGAAATCGACGGTACTCGCGTCGTAGCGAAGAAAACGCACGAAGAAATTTAATTAAGGAAGGACGAGCGAGTTTAACGCCAGATATAACTGGATGCAGCCTGAATATATATGATATGTTCATTAACGACGATTCTATCCGGAGAATTCCGCATAGAATTTTCTGAGAGGTTGCATTCGTATTCGTAATCGCGGAAAATTGAATTAAATCGAAACCGCGGGGCAACGCGCGCATGATTCCAATGGTACGCTCCTCGTCGATGGAATTTTTCGCGGTTCCTGCTTCTTTTTTTTGTCTACGGAACGGAAGGTATCGACGCTGCATTTGGCGCGAAACGCGATGGGGTGTGCGTGGGACGCGCGTGACAACATTCGAACTGCCCACATAGTACGCCGTAACGCATCGGATTTAAAATAGTCTCTTAAAAACGTTCCCGAGCGCCATCGATTTCGAAGAAAGCGTCGTTTCCGTGGATCGAAAGAATCGTTCGGTTTTAGTCGACGCTAACAAAGAATGCGAAAAGAAGACTGGTTTGGCGAGTGGCTTTCGTGTTGACGTAGGTCCTGTATTATTTGAACAGAGACCTCGAAAACAGCCTGTAAGAATTGCGTTAACGAAAGTACAAATATCGCTAATGGCTTGCGCTCTTAAGAAAATTTTCCCGCCGAATTGACACTCAAGATCGCATCAAGGAAGAGCGCCCTTGATTTTCTCGACGACCCACGTAATCGTAGTACGCAGCTTTTTTGTTGATCGAGCCCGTTACGATAAAGAAGAGGCGTGTTCCGCTTTCGCGAGCGAGCACAGTGGATCGTTATTTCATGGAAAAAAGTGTAATAAACGGCGAAGGATGCTTCAGTACTAGCGACTGGGTAATTATATCATCAAGGTTATTACGGCATTAGATAATCGATGCCCCGTTGCGATAACGACGTTCGTTTAAAGCGAGAAGTAACATCTACGCCCTCCGGTATCGTTGAAAACAAAGTCTCGTGAATTAATGGTATGCAAAAGATATGCCGAGTCAGGCGGGATTTTCACCCGTTTAATTGCTCGACCGATCGGTCGTTGTCTCGAACGATAATTACACGGCGTTCTTCGATTTTTTCTTTCGCTTTTGCACGTTGGACAACGTAGTTCTTCGATAAATTAATATTTTTGTACGAAAAGAAATATACGTTTCCTTGAAACATGTACAAACGTGGGTGAAAAGTTTGAAGAAGCTATAATCAATAGCGTTCGAGTAAAAAATTCAGAAAGAAATGACTGTTTTAGCGGGTACCTCTTTAGTCGAGAGACTTCAATGCTGGCAAGCGCGATGCGTTTGTCCAAGCATTGATCTCGACTGCGCGTCGAGCTTCCATTGCATTTCAGCCGTGCACGGCCGGTGTGAAAAAACTCCGATCCCGTTTATTAAGCTTGCAACGGATGAAAAAGTCGCCTTAATGAAGTTTAAGATCGCGTGACGCGGCGTTCCCCGTTCGATTAAACGTTCCTCGTAGTTCCTTGGTAATTACGGATTCGAATCGTTATAAACGGCTGGAATACGTCTTGATGCGCCTAAGTCGACGTGCAGTTAGCTTTCAAGGAACCCGATCGTGGCTTCGTGATCAACCTTCGATAATGGTCGTTACATTGAAACTAGCGACGGAATTAACTTTAATATGTACGTACTCTCGAATATCAATTAATTCAATAACCAACATTTGTTTCGTTACAGACGAGTAGTATCTACTCGTAAAAACGAATGTTTCGTTTAATGTGTTTGTATAGTATTTGGTATCGTTCGAAACTTAAGTAAAGGGTAAAAGTAGGCAATACATTCAGGTTGATAAAACATACCACCATAGTATTGCCTCAGTCGTTAATAGAGGCTTTAGAACCTTTTATTTTCATTTCTGCAGTATCTTTTTTCTATATTCAATTAGTCGAAATAGATAGATCTAATATCTTTCTATTCGAGTAAAGTTATTTTAATTAGAAGATACATAGTAATTAATTATTTTTGTGTTTTAGCGTAACAGATAGATGAATTTAGAGAGCAGACAACATTGAAAGCAGCTCTTCGTTCCCAATACGATTGGAACTGGAATTCTTCTCAAAATTTCGAATGTTTTCGCTTCTGCGACGCGTGAATAATCAAGACGTATTGTTAATACGACTACTAGGGTTCCCCGAAGTGGTCGCGCGAAAACGTATGGCACTTATGCTTTCCATTAAAATTCGCGCGGCTCGTCGGACGAAACGAATCGAACGATCGTCCGCGCCGACAACGACCATCCCATAAATCAGACGGGATGTTTTCCTCGGCGCGGTTATGCGGCTGTACGAACGGAACCGGGAAATCCACGGGAACGAGCCTAACGCGCGATTATCGTCGACGGAGGCGTGCACGACCTCCAGCCGATCTAGGAATTCCTGTTGCACGCGGACCGACGGAAAAGTACATTATCGTGTGTCGCGCTGGCTCGCGAAGCGTGCGGTCGCATTGTGATGTAACCCGATGAATCAACGGATCGTCGATCGTTCACGTCGTCAGGCGATACACGTGCCCCAGCACGTTCGCAAATTGGTCAATTACCGCGACACTCGACGACATTAGTCGATGTTTCGATCGAACGTTTCGCGCGCCTGGATCGCCCATCGCGTCTCTATCCATCGATCTCCTCTAAACGATGAATTATCCCGGTCGAGCAACCTGTAAAACGGGTAGTCCACGTTTTTTCTACGAAACCGAAATACCCAAGGATCGTCAATCTATCTCTTTGTCAGCGACAGCTAATCTCGCGGAGTCGTTCATTACAGTGCATTAACATTCGATAGAAAAACCGATAATGGAGCGTTAAATTGAGGAAACGGTGCGATTATTTATTGCTTTCGATCAACCAGCCATTTGATTCGTAGAAAAATTGCTATTTGTTTACTTTTCTTTCTCTCATCTTTAACGACTTCATTTGCCGTTGATGTGCCTTGGAGGCAAACATTGTTATAATGCGTAATTAGATAGTTAATCTTCGTTTGATGAATATTGGGTAGGTTTGGAGCCTTGGAACCAACGAAGCTCGAGATTCGGTGGTGCGATCGGAGGCTGCAGGAAGATTTAGATGGAACCTAGTGTCGGGGAACAAGATTCTATTTCGAGGATAAAGAGTTGGAGGGAAAAAGGAGAGGTGGATTTTAAGAATCGAGGTGCTTAAGACACCAGAGAGAGAGAGAGAGAAAGAAATATTAACGGGACACGTATTTATTACAGAAGGGCCAACCCACGAACGGTGTCGTCGTTCATTTTCGTCATTCCAGGGTGCCCCGTGAACGTGTCCAAAGAAAATAAAAAAGCGTACATGTCCACGACTACTTACAACATGGTTGCGTGCCCGACGGACCGAGCTTTTGAAACTTGATCGAGCAACCGATCGCCCCGGCCTGGCATCGAAGTTATCCGCAGTTGGCCAGGCGGATGACGGCATCGTCGAAAAGAATACGAAATGAACGCGTGCCCCAACGAACCCGTTACCTATACTACGCTGGACTCGTCTTAGAAGGTACAAGGTGTGCTTCCAAGGTATGTCTGGGTTCGCGCGTCCACCTGGAAACCTGGACATCTATGCATCCTTGACTCTGCAGTTCTTCATTATATGCAAACAATTTCGTACAAAGCCTTCTTGTTCTAATAATTCTGTACAGTGTGATGCGATGGTAGGACACAGGAATATTTACCCAAAGAAAGAAATTGAGGATCGAGGTGGATAACGTCTCACAACGATCCCTGGCAAGATCCCCGGATCCCATGAATTTCTCCTTCCGCGGATCAAAGCAACGATCCATGAGGCAACGATACGATCTTTCGAAGCATTGGGCAACGATCCATGAGACCCGGTCGGAGGCTCTGGTTTCCGTGAGTCCAGGCTACGATCCTACCGTGATACGAAACGATTGTGTCCGATTAAAAGGGTACACTTTGCATTCGCAAGATCGTATTGTTCATCCTTGCCCTGGATAGAACAATGTTACGTAACGCGAACGTTGTGTTACCCGGGGATTTCACGGTTCCCCGCTGGACACGAGGTTTCTGCGAGACCGTGGCTGCCCACCAGGGGTAGAGAAACGTAAAAGTGTGTCTGAAATATTGTTTTAATAGATACGGACTTATTGCAGGGCCTGATAGAATGGATCCGAGGAGGTCAACTCGGCGCGAGGACGCTTCGATGGAACAGGAAGGACGAAACTGGCTATTGGATAGCCCCCGAGGATATGGACGAAAAGAAACGCGTTTGGTATTTCGCCAGAGGTGAAACCCAGCTTAAATATTTGCATGGATCGATGTAATTGTCAGCTCTAAAGCGGCGTTTCGCACTTTCTTCGTTGTTCGTGGAGGACGGTGCCCAAGAATGGGTAATTACAAGGAATGGAGACGCTGCTCTATACTGGGTGTCCTGCAGTAAGCGAGGTGTACATGCTGTTTTTGGTAAGGCACGCGGATGTAACGCTTTGGAAATATTCTACAGTGGATGAATAGCGTATTTTTAAGAATTTTTGCCCGGTGAACTCGGTGAGCCCCTTCCCCCCTAGTCTTTCCAGAGTTGATAAATGTCGGAAACGTCCGCCAGATTGTGGAAAATTATCGTCGAGTGTTCGCGGAACGGAACACGCACGGTATGGAGTACACGCGTTTCGCGCGACTCTAATGACACTATATACCCCGGCTAGAGTACATCGGTGTCGCTGAACCCCGGCGCCTCGAGGCGTTTCACAGGCGGAGGCCACTGAGAAGAATCCACGGACATGCAGCTATATATACTTTGCACCATTACGCTTAATCTACGGCCTGCCGCAGCAGCGTCGATTCATAGAGACAGCGTAGAAACGCGCCGCGTCACCGGGAACGCGGCTCGTTCGACGTCCACGTTGATTTGCGATCTCGCGACCGGAAGAAAAACCCGCGGCGCGACCGAACGATGCACGCCGATGGATCGTGTCGACAGGAATTTCAAACGCGTACCCAGATGCTCGCCGCGCTCGCGAACCCTATGCTGATTCCGCCGGACGACAAGAAAAATGTATCGGTATTCATCCACGAATTCAAATTGTTTAAATCGTAATATTCCTCTCAAGATTGAAAAGAAATTGTTCGAATATTTCCTGCCACCGTAGTGTACCAGCTATGTGGCTTATCAGCAAGATATGGTTATATAACATGTTGCATGCATCCATCAAATCGAATGCTTTTTAAAACAAAATTTTGTTAATTTAGCCACGCTGTGAGGTCTGGAGGGTCGACAAAACGTTGCCTCGGATAATGCATCACCGAGCACAGGCGCTGCTGCTTGGGTACCATTTCCATCCGCTGGTCGTCGGTGAACTTTGGCGAACGCGACGCTGAAGACCCCGGGAAATTCCAAAAGAGCCCGGAGCATGGTTCGATTGACCTCTAGCAACAGGATCATCTGTCCTCTAAGATACTTAATCCACAGCTATCTCCGCGGAGCCAGTATACGTGCCATATAGAGGCTTTCGCACACGGCCGCAAACAGCGAGGGAGATTGGTTCCAGGCGTCGAGTTCTCCGAGTTCGCGCGCCGTTCGAGCGGCTCCGCGCGACTCCGGGTCCGCCGTGGGAGTGAGCACGAGCAGGTAAGAGCGATCCCGTCCAGCCAGGTGAGAAACAGAGACGCGGCGGTCCGCGTGCGAGGGGGCGAGTGTAGGGGAAATCGTTGGCAAGAGCAGCGAGAGAGGAGTTCGTAGAAGGAAAAGGAGAGGGTACGGGGTAGAGAGGGAGGAGGGGGGGGGAGGAGAGCAGCGAAAAGAGAGAGGCCAGTCGAGCGAAGAGAAGGATCGTCGGCCAATGAGACACCAGGCCGGCGATGACGTCGCCGTTGTCTCACGTCGAAGTCTCACCAAAAGTCTTCGCCAGCCACCAGTTCGTCCGCGGTCTCCCGGTTGGACGAGGAGCTCGTCCTTTTCACGACGTCTTCGCCGAGAGGTGGTTCAGTTGTTTATTTATTTTTTTCTTTCCCACCGTTGACCGACCAGCGAAACCAGCCAACATTGGACTACGCATACAGGGAGGCATCGTGGCTGAAGGAGGCTGCTGTCAGCCATGGGGACGGGTAAGTGTGCTCGAGGAACCGTCTGCTTCAGGGATTCGAAGCTTCGCCTCGATTTTAACCGTTCCCCGTCGATCGATCGTGATCGTTACCGTTCTCCGCGCTGGTCCACACGGTGTCCCCGTCATTCGCCATTGCTCCTCGATTTGGCGAACGGGGGACCGGGTCACGGCGGACATTACCGATGTCCGGCAACGGTTTTCTCCGTTCGTTGCATCGCGAACCAGCCTCGTGATAAAATAAGAACGGATTCCACGGCGGGAGCTCTCCTTGGGTTTCGACGCTGAACGGGTTTAGCTTCTTCTAAAGTCAAGGTCGTCCCGGAGAATATCCGCGAGTGCCTATCATACGGCTCCGGTTCGCTCGCAGATCGAATCTCGTTCAAGGATAATCCGAAACGCGGAATAATTAACGCGATAACGAAGACTCTCGGGGTTCCCCGTAATGGTCGTCCCTTCGTTCCAAGGAATTTTATTCCCGTTCGACTCGTTGGAAAACTCTCACGCTCTTCTTCCTCCAACCTTGAATTAATAATGGGTCTTTGAAAGTCCTCGATCTTCCATCAGAAGCGTAACACTTTTGCCGATGCTTCTCCGTCCAAAACGAATTAGTGAAAATACTTGAATACGTCTCTTGCGTTCCGAGAGTATCGTTTATCAATTTTTGAATAGTAGAGTTCCCGCGTAAACTTGACCTTACCATTTCGGGGAAGAAATGAAAACGCGCGTGGAAAAGTCACCGTTATGTCAGAACGCCCGATAGTTTCGACCTTTAGCACATCCTTTAGGCAGATGGTGTCAAGGATATGCGTGAGTCGCGCGAGCCGCCTGATCAGAAATTATGCGACTACCTGGGCGTAACGCGAGCCGTTTGCGTTTTTGCGCACTAAAACGAATCTCCCGTTTTCATTTCTCTGCAATTTTTCCGTCGCTTTAATAGCCGTCTTTTACGCTGGATCCTTCACTTGGCTCGTTCGACGCGCGTTCGACGACCTTTCGATTCGGTTGCATCTTTTTGGGGGGCCGTTTCCGGTTGTCGTCGGCGTTAACCACTTTAAAAAGACATGCCTCCCGCAAAAGGTAATCGCTTCCCCGCGAAAGCGTCCCGAGTTTAACGACGATTCCATTAAAAATTACGTCACGAGTTCATCATCGATGATCTATGAGCGGAAGAAATCCAATAACAATCGTTCCGTCACCGCCATTATCTAACCGATTAAAAGTCGCTTTCCCGACCTTGGGAATTGCGTGTTCTTAAATGGTCGAACGTTCTAGAGCGTTAATAAATTAGAGATCGGTTCTAGTCGCCTTCCGCCTATGGAAAATAATTTATGGACCAACGGATCGTTGGATCCTTCGCGCATTTTGCCCCTGGAAATGAAAGTTTCGTCCGAGGAACGGCTCGAGGACGACGAAAATCGAGAAAATCGACGTTTCTCGATCGTCTCGCAAAGGCAGCACGAGAATATCACCGCGGGCGTACGTGATCCGCTGGTGCAGTGATTTCGAGCAGGGGACACTTTCTGTGACAAGTATAGAAGTTCGCTGGCTCGAATCCGGTTTTCCCAGCGGCAGTGTGCGTGCTTTCGCGAGAGACTTCGATCCCGAGGATGTGCAAAAGAAGGATCCTAGGACGATTAAGCGTGCGACAAGCGGCTCGATAAAAACGGGTCGGGAGTGTAGCCAGTCCGACGCGAGTGAGTGAGCAGTTCTATGTAATATAAAAAAGGATACGCGACAGTGACGAGGAGTGATCCTTTGGTGTGCTTTTATGGACTTGGACGGCGTCACCGCCTCTGGATGTAACGCAAGTACCTATTTTTACCAACGAACTACCGCCGGGGCATTGCGTAAGCCCTGTAAGGAATATAAAAATATTGATGATCAAGGGGGATCGACGTTCAGTTCCTGTCGTCGCGAACCTGCTAGAAATTATCGTGTCGTTTGCAAAAACACGGTTCTCCAGTCACGCGATTAATAGAGAGGATATTGGGGGAACGTAGCATGCTGTTTTTAGTTATCAATTAAAACTGCAGCCTCTACATTGATGATCAATACTGATCTACCATGAAATTATTTGACCATTTTTTAATTCAATTACTAATTAGAAACAAAAAGTTTCCTCTTGAAACGTGTTTGTGCAAATAATCAATTCTATTTTAAACTCGATATCTGCTTATTTATTCTGAATGAAAAATATAATACAATTTTCTAGCATTGCATGCATGCGAACAAAAGAAATTCGAAGAGCAATACTAGAAACACAAAGAGGCTTCATCGACCGCACGAGTAAATAATTGCAACGTCGCGAATCTATAACCCCGAGGTGCATCGAGGACCAAGCCAACAGGAAGAGGATAATGGAACTATAAATATATTTCCATAATAATAAAAGGGACCCTCGAAGAGCAGTCGGTTAAATTTTATTCATGACTAACGAATGCAAATGCGAGATTCGTTTGTGTTTCGCTTGTAAATCCACTCGTAAATCAGAATCCATTAAACGCGAACGCCGAGGCGAGCGAGAAACGTCCGGCAAAAGCTAGTTAGGCGTATTTCGAATTTGTATTCGTCGATTATGAATAAATTTTGCCAAACTCCGAGCGTAATTAGCTTCTCGATAAGTCAAGACGCGATTACCAATATTGGTCGACGCTTGCTAAGAACTAAATACATATAGAACGGAAGCGCGAACTCTTGGAAACTATGTACCCAAGAGCAATGTCATCGAAATTCATGGAAGTATCGTCGAAACGATCGTGGGCCATTCGTTCGCGCTTTCACGGAATTCACGGTTGCATCTGCGACGCGAGATTTTTACGAACGACGCCTTCGGAACGCTACCGAGAGAGTCCATTATCTTGCAAATGTATTCTGAATACATTACGCGATCGTTTGCTTCTGGCCCGTACGCCAGCACGGTTCGCGACTAGCTAAAAATCGGTTACTGGAATACGTTTCCTGGAATTCCTCCGGAGCAGTTGTGTAGATGAGTACGATTGTCGTCGAATTCAGGGGCCTAGGATTCGTTTAGGGGTCTCATTGTCCTCTAATCTGGGAGAATTAATACCTGTGGGAACAGGACAGTAGATTCACAGTTAAATATAGAGTATGTACTTACATACACCGAACGCGTCGAGCTCGTTGATTACTGCCACGCGTTGAAATCACCAGCGAGACGCACAGTGGGACGCAACGAACTGCCATTAAAGATCGATATTTTCAAGTGAAAAATTAAATTCGTTTGCAACGCTGCTCGAATTATGTGATCTGATATTTGTAACAACGCTAGAAAAGATTGTTGCAACTGTGGAAATTTTGTTCACCGGTAAATCCGGCACCGAGTATCGCAATTTTAAGTCCACCGCGTCCGTTCGAACAGCTATTACGCGTTCACCGTATCCTAATCGACACTCGTTGATACTCTGTTTCTTACTTGCTCGAGCGTGTACGTAAAACGCGATATTCCCTGGCACTTTCCAACGTCGGGCGTTTCTTGTGTCACCGATCGAAACGCCGTACAATGCCGGACCGATAGCGAAAGGCATTGTCGAGGTCGCGGTACACGGGCCCGTAATTTTCCCGATTACGAATCGAAACGATGGAAATTGGGGCGAATGCGTGGGCAGACGAGAGGATTGTGGGCCGACACCTTGCTCAATCGTGCGCGATCCAACGTCGCGTGATCCAAATACGAGGTCTGCTCGATGAATAGAGACACGAACGTCCAAATGACAAGTTGATGTCTCTGTCATCGGTTAGAAACAGTTGCTCGATGATCGTTTCGATGATTAGCTATTTTCTGATTAAGTTAGTTTGTCTAAGATATCGTTCCTAATGTTTGATTTCGCGAACAGAACAAATATCATTTGTCCATTGTCTGTGACCCCGTTTGAACTTCGCTTTGACAGTCATATCGGTTGCGCAACGAAATGTGTATCGCACACGAAGTACGGTTCAGTCGCGTTCCAGCGGTCGCATCCGCCGACTGTCTCTGCTGGAAATAATTAATAAGCGTTACGCGAAGAACTGTCCTTTGTCAGCGTTTAATTATTCCTGAAGAAACTGTCGAAAAAAATTTTGGGCTCTCGTTCGTTAGGGTCTTTCACCCCAGTTCTATCATTCTCCCGATAAATTCCGCCATTCGAAACGAGTGTAGGAAGTGCAGTTGGCAGAGGAAAATCCAGATTTGTACGCATGCAAAGCGTACGTGAAAATCTCTCGATAATTAAGGAAGCGCAATTAGATCCTGGTTCGAAACCGGCAATTTTCTGTCGCGTGTCCCCGTGTCGTTACAGCCTGTACGCTCCTCAAACCGATGACTGTCCTTTTTCATTCATTTCTATGCGTCCGTGCAGGAAACGATTCAATCTCGGCGATTACGGAAACCTGCGTTTCAGCATGCTCGTAGGCGCTATTGCTCGTTGAGTTGCATTCCGGATAATCCAGAACGGATCCTGGAACATTAATCGACTGATTCTTCTCATTTACCTCGATCGATTGCTCGATATATTGTAACAGCTTATCGCAAAAACGATGAAACCTTTTATCACTAAATTGTACAATTTTTTATCGAAACTTCGCTTTTAATTCTCGTATCTTACAAGTAAACTTGCGTGTTCCTTGCTAATTGATCGTCGATGATTCTGTATTTACATGTTTTTCTGCGTTTCCTGACGGAACCAGAATTACTTATCTCTGTCAAAGCTGATAACGAACACGTTCCAAGGCAGTTTCGACTTCAAGCGTGCTTAGGCGTTCATTGGCAGATACAAAGAGCCTAATTAAATTATGACGACGTTCCATGGGCACCCATGGTCTCCTAAAAATGAAGCTTCCACCGTGCTCGGTGGGCGTGATCGTTCGCGCTTACAGCTGAGGCCGTAGAGCTCGGTTTTTGCCAGCACGCTCGAGGAAGGAAAGCCTGAAAACCGGAGATCGCTCCGGCTCCCTATATAATCTTTGCATATTTATGAGTTTCGCAAGTAATATTTAACTTGGACT